CTCACATAGCCTCTCCATGGTTTTTAAGAAAAACGATGTGAGACTAATTGGTCGGAATGCTTTTGGTAGGGTGTAGTCCATCCTACCTGGTTTGGGTATAAATACTACTCTTACTTCTCTCCACTTACTGGGAATATACCTCAGAGCTAGAGAGGCTCTGAATATTCCAACCAGGTGTGGCATAAGAGTGTCCAGTCCCCACTGAAGTAGGGCTGGTCTTATACCGTCAGGCCCTGGTGACTTGAAGGGGGAAAAGCCCGATATAGCCCATCTTATTTTGTCCTCATCTGACTGGAGAAGAGAACAAGAAGTGCAACCTTGATAGCCTGGAACATCAAAGAAAGGTTGGAAATTTATCTCTCTTTTATAGATACTTTCACAGTAAGCGTTCAAGTGACTTGGCAGATTTGATTCCACCAAGAGCGGTACATATCAGAAATATGCGACGGACTGTGGCTGTTCATCGTTATGAGGTTCAACTTAGTACACCTCGAACTTCACTGTTTAAGAACTCTTTCATTTGGAGAACTGCGTTCATCTGATAACGTTTTTCCAACCAGATTTAATCTCCAGCGATTCAAATCTGATGTGAATCGCTGTCCCTGAAAAAATCTTGTTTCTGTTTTGCCAAATCACCATGGACGGATATAGCACTCAACAAAACGTGCAACACACATCAAAATGGGTGTTCTATTTGGGCAACGTACCGCGCGCTTCGCCCATTTTCCGGTCGCCATAATCGTGGTACTGACAGGACTATTCGCAATGTGGTGAATACACTTGAGTCCAACAGTTCGGTGAACGATCGTCCAATAGTTCAGTAAACGATCGACCAATACCTGTTACGTCGACAAAACGCAAGATCTGCTAAAACATCGTCGCTATCTGTGAGAGTGTGCAGGAGAATCCGAGGCTATCGGATTCCATACTGCACGCCGCCAAGCCGTTTTTGTATTTTCATACCATGTTTGAATTGTTTCCACTGTAAGTGAAACATTTTGTTGATTAATTTCTGAAAAATCCACTTTTCGCAATGTAGTGATGAAATTGATAACAGTTGCTACAAGATCACAATTCAAAATTACAATACTTTGTTAGGTGGGAGGGAAAAATTCCAGCGGTGGTCCCCACTACTCCGCCTCTTCCTGATAGCATTTTAGGAAGATTAGAACAGTTTCCTATGAAGTAAGTGGAATCCGATGTTTCTCAATTTTAAAGAATGTAATTTTTACAGAATGATAACTTTATTTTTTTTATATGTGTTTATAACAATACTCATTAATTTATTAAATGGCAAAAGCTTCAGTTGATGAAAAAGATCATCCAAATGTCCATAAACAGCATTGGCAGAATATATAACCTGTATAGCTTGAGCAAATCTATCTAATGATAGTTGTAACGAATCTTCATTCAAAATTTGATCCAACTTCAGTTCCTGTTTATTCCTCAAGTCATTAACGTAACTCAAAATCGGATTGATGGTAATGGTGAGATGTTGGGCATAAACTGCTTTAGGAGGCAAAACCCTTGGTATTTCCATAATGCCACTAAGCAAAGCTAAATGGAGGTCATTGTAGGACGGGTTATCTTGTTTATAAATGGGAGACAATATACACCACTTTAATAAACCTGATATTGGGGTTGTTGCTTCCATAGCAATTGCTCCAGGTGGTAGAATAGCTTGTTTTTGTTGTGCCGCTGTACATAAACCACAATTTGTCGTTATCTAAAAAATAAACAAAAAGATTAAATCCAGGAACATTTGCTAACCACTATTGCTTTCAAAGTACAAAAATTATAATCAATCAATCAATCAAAATGTACTTTATTGTCGAAGATGAAATCTCATTNTGACAAAGTGTTAATATTAATTGACTCGGAAGGATTTTGAAGTTAAACTGTTTTTGACCCGTGAGGGAAAAATGATGAGAGTAAATTTTTGCGATGCTCGCGCGCACCGTCACGAAAAACCGACACCCTGAAGTTAGCTTCTTCTTCTTTAATTTATATGGCCATCGCTTCTCAGTCAAACGCATTTGGCTGGACTCCTCCTGCCCATAGTGAACAGGAGCTTCGTCCGGGGGCGCAGCTGTCTTGCTCTAGGCAATGCTGCCACCCTAAGTTCGAACTTTGTTTGGCTCTTGCGGGTTTGTTTTGCCCTCAAACTCCAGAGCGTTTGCCAGTGCATACACGAGATGTTTCGGACGAGCTAGTGTTGAGGCCTGTCTAGTTTCTTGGTCGCGAAGTCCGTCCGAGAATGACTGAATTGCTAACCGCTCCATTACATTTCCCGGTGTAGCAAGATATGCCAGACGAACCAATGGAGCAATGTCGGCTTCAAAATCCTGTAGCGATTTCTGGCAGCGGTTCTTCAGCTGTGAATGGTAAAGTGCTCTAGATGGGTCTGCCCATAACTCAAGATCATAGTCTTGATCATAGTCTTCCTCTTCTTGGGCCGTGAGGGTTTGCAAAATATTCGTTGCTTCTCCACGCAACGCCAATATGTTTATGCTACCGCCTTTTCTCCTGCATTCCATCCATTCGATGTGACCGCAGCTTCGAATTGTCGGCGGTAATTTGCCCAAGGAGTTTTTCCGTCGAACTGGAGCAGCTTCATGGAGAGCTTTCATGGTTCAGAACTGACTTTGACATCTTTCATTGCCTTCTGAAGTTCTTCCATGTTAAAACTCAGTTCCCGAATTAAGTTTTCGGTAACAGTTTCTGTGGTGTGGGCAGAATTAATGATTTGGTTTTGCAACTTGCTAATTGTTTCCTTCATCTTGCTGATTTCTGTCTGAACTCTGCATTTGATTTCCTCTACTTCCGTATTCATTTCCTTCCTGATTTTGTCTATCTCTGTCTGGTTCCTACCCTTTTTTCGAGTAGACTTGCCACACAACAAAGTTCTTTCTTCAAGCCTTATTCTGCATTTTCTAGGAGTTTTTTCTTCAAGCCATTCGAATTCTCTAGAAGCTTATCTTCCAAACTTTTCGAATTTTCCAGAAGCTTGTCTTCCAAACTATTCGAATTTTCCAGAAGCTTCTCCTCCAGGCACTTCGAATCTTGTTGAAGTTCATCTTTCAGCAATTTGGTATTCTCATCGAATTTGCTCATTATTGAACTCAAATTACCCCCAGAAACTTCGAATAAATATGTTTCGCGATCTTCTCCTGATTCAGTCAAGTTATCCCACAGTCTCTTATGGAGTACTGATTTCTTTCAAGAACTGGCCTAGAATTTTGTTAAAGTTCATCTTCCAGCGATTTCGTATTCTCATTGAGTTTGCTCATTATTGAACTCAAATTACCCCCAGAAACTTCGAATATATATGTTTCGGGATCTTCTCCTGATTCAGTCAAGTTATCCCACAGTCTCTTATGGAGTACTGATTTCTTTCCAGAACAATCTAGCTCCCTCTCCACCAAATCTTGTTTCAATTCGGCGACTTTCAAGTCCGCTAGGCACACTTTCCTCGAACACATTTTGTCTCTTATTGTCTATTTTCCACAAAACTGAGTATATCTAAATTCGTATAGTCACATTACCGTCGGTATCACGTCAATTTATTTTTGTCTCAATTCAGGTCGCGATTCTCTATATTGCAATAAAAATTGTATAAAAAGTCCACATAATATTTATAGCGTATGGCGTGTTTTTGAAGGTACCAGAACTGTTATTGTGCGCCTCTGAATGGTGCTGCTATCTAGAGAAAAGTCTGAACGCTTTTATGTGGACGTGTGTGAATTTTATCTTAGCGCTGCATTGTATGAATATTGAATTCAGTTTGTATATTCGAGCATATTTCTTGGTCGTTACACCACTTTTATAATGGACTAGATATTGCACACCACTCCGTCTGCGTGTGGAAGACTGTGGAAGAATGAATGATTGTTGAACAATACCTTGGTCAGTTTTATGGTGTTTTGAGAAAAAATAAAACTCTTTCTGAACCGAATAGTTTTTAGAATTGGGAAGTAAAGCATGTTATATTTCACATAACTATAAATGAGTGGGAATTATATCCCTTAGATACTTTCAACTGTAAACAGAACTGGTCATCAACAACTGTCCCAATTGGGATACAAAGCAATAAACTATATAGGATAAAACAGTTTTATTGGAATAATCATCAACAGAGACAGATGAAAAATCTTGTGAACTGACATAAGGCGAGTCAAAAGCTACTAAACTTCAAAGCTAATAATGTTAAAAAAATACTTGTTTCTGTTCAACAAACGTCATTTGCTCATCTTCTTCTGCTGAAGCTTCATTTGTCGTGTAACAATGGCATCAGATCCCTTTTACCACTCAGATTAAACTGAGGCCCCTATTCACACCAATATACAGGTTGTTTCAAATTCGATCCTCACCATTGGGATCTCGGAAACTAGGAGAGATACGAAGATGGTTAAATTGGGGCAAAGTTGCGCATTTACCTGACTGCCGTTGAGAAAGTTCTGAAATTCCGAGTATATCCGGAAAAAACAGAAATTTTGGAAAATGGTTATTATTTTTTCTAGCTTTATTTTTCGAATTATTCGAAAATAAATTGTACTTCCACATTGCCACTTTTTCCCTGCTATCTAATGGTGTTTTCAGATTAATTATTCGACGTTTCGTCTTCCGGCCACCATTATCAACTTTATTTTGTCTTATGGGCGCTACATTGATTTCTTTCTGTTTAGAATAGAACCAAATTCTACCTTTTCAATGATGTATCATGTTATCATTCTTTTTCGAAATGTTGAAGACATTGAAAAAAATTAATTCTTATCATAATAGGCTTTGACTTTGATATTTCTAAATTTGAATTTCAAATGAACTTTTCAAAACACTAGAACATGACCACAATACTAGATTCAAACAACATTTAACTAAGGATTGAAAAAAATATACTTATATTCAAAGAAATGTGGAATTTACAGTCATAAACATTTTCAATCATTTGTCTGATAATCTAAAAAAAATGCCAATTAATAAAATGAAGCATCAACTTAAGCAGTTATTATTACAAACGACTTACAATAAACAGACAGACAGAGATCTATCAATTTGTTACACTGAATGACATTTTGTTATTGTACAAGTAATTATTTTTTGTCAAAAAATGGATTTCACCATTCCAGCAGATCCATTACATTATATGAATGAAAATTTTTCAGAAATGATAATTTCTAAGAAATAAATAAAATATATCCTTTTTTGTAAGAATTGTATGGTAAATAAAAAATATTCCTTTCATTCCAATATTGAGTTCTCGAAGTAAGGACAAAAACAGAATGTTTGCATTGACATGGAATCAACTTGTAATTTCTCAGGACTTGTTCACTGAGCTAAAATGTAGGAAATAATTCAGTACTAATTCTGTAAATACAAGACTACTAATAGTCCTACAGTATATGACTACTATCATTACTAGTACTACTTTCAACTTACCCAATAAGTGATGGTATCCAATAATACTTTTTGTGGAAATAGCAGCTCTTTTTTCGATGTATTGAAATAGTTTTCTGCAATCGCTGTCATAAAATTTGCAGTAAATTGAGGAGATATATGTGGCAGTTCCTTTATTCGACAAGTGTTGAAATTATAGTAATAAAAGTAATCTTGAATCAGCGACTCTGCCAGTTTACAGCAATTTTGTGATGTATTTCCTAACTGTTGCATCCAAGCACTAGCTGATGATAGGATGGCTGGTGACGGAATCCCAATTGAAACAGACACTAATTTACTAAGTATACCTAATCTCATACTGGCAGTGGTGCCACTAAATAATGAGAGAAAAAGAGTATTCCTTGCAGTTTCATTGGATATTCCATTAAAGTATTCATACAATATTTCGATGAGTTGTAATTCCAAAAGAGCAGTTAATGGATGTCCTCTCTTGTGTCCTCTTCGATCCACCTCATAAAAAATAAATTCTGCCATAAGATCCAATGATAAATCCATGTTTTTTATAGATGTTATTCGACTGCATATTAGTTCAACTGAAAACAATTATCAATCAGTTATTTTGAAAAATAACTTCAACATACAACCTATTTTATTTAAGGCTTCTTTAGCACATAAGGGATAGTCAATTTTCCTTAAACTCTGTTTTAAATTTATTTCTGAAGAACCTGACATTATTCAAAATATATCGATCTTGCTGATAGCTGAAACCATCGAGGTGATTACATAAACACCTTATTTTTCCTAGAATACAGCTATTTTTTTCGCGGCTAACGAAAATTCAAAAACCAACAGACCAGGTGTATTACTATTATTGGGTTCAGGTGAGCACAACAAAGTTAGCACTCTTCTTGCTCTGGGACAAAGGCAAATCATCACAGAAACCCGTCATAAGAAATGTTTTTAATTTTTTCAACAGGTGGATGTCCATTGATTATTATGGTTTTCGATGAAAATTTGGTAGCCAAACATTCACGTCTAAAGTCCAGGGACATCTCTGATGTATTTGTCAAAAATACATTTGTCAGGAGAGATTTCAGGCAACCAATTATTACTCGAAGCGCTTGATATTGAATACTATCCAGCTTATTAAGGGGCGGCATAGATGAAGGTTTGATTAAAATTGATTCATAGTCTATGTGCAATTTAACATATGCTATATGCTATGTGGAGAGTAGCAGGGTCTGCTCCGCACCAGAATCTGCTGAAGGATCTTATAATATTAATGCATTTCATTTCGATTGTTTTAAAGAATAGGTTCCAATTAAGATAATTTGTGGGGTAGATACCAAAATATTTGACCTTTTTTTTATGTTTATGATTTGGTCATTGAAAATGATGGGGTAAGGGGAAATAATATTTTACTTTATATTATTTTTTGTAAACACACATTCACTTTTTTCAACAGAAACTTAAAAGTTATGTTTTTTTCATGCATGTAGGAGAGTCCTGCGGTAGGCTCATGAAAATTTATTTAGTTCCCATAACACAATTTTTGTTATCTGTTATACTGAACTGGCGACACACCCCAGCTCCGCATGAGTGCAATGCTGATACTGAATATACATATAAACGTGTGCGATCGCTGCTAATCATAGTGCTATAGGGCGAAGCGCGGCCTTCGACGCGTTATTTGAAGACACCACAATGTTTCACGAACTGTGCAACATCTTGGCGCCTTTTGGGCCAATAGTACTTCTCGACCAACCTTGAGAATGTTTTGTATATTCCCATATGACCTGCGGTCGGGAGATCATGAGCGACCGATATCACCCCCTACCTTTCACTGACTAAACCCGAGAGGAAATCGTCGCACGTTATCACACATCCTACTGTACCAGGTATCTTTCATAATCTCACCAGAGACTTTTAACGAATCCAATACTGGACTTGATCTACTCAGTATGTTCGGAATCACATTATTGTCCTTACCTTTCCTATGGACTATCTGAAAATCAAAATGTTGATTGCGAACAGCCCATATGGTCAACCTTCCATTCATATCCCTTAGCGATTGAAGCCATTTGAGGCTGTAGTGGTCAGTAATGACCGTGAATGTAAATCCTTCGGTATATGGCCGCAACTTCTCAATGGCCCATAGGACTGCAACGCATCCGGTCATGGATTTGCTCAGGTAACATATTACCTTATCTCCTTCAGCAGTCGGCTGAGTACCCCGTACGCCGAGGTAACTGTCTGAATTACAAAGGACAAGGTATAATCAGGACAAATCAGAATAGGTGCTGTTATAAGATGTTCCTTGATTCGATGCAAGACTTGATTACATTCAGGAGTCCAGTCGAAACTTCGATTTTTCTTGCAGTCCTATGGGCCATTCACGGTCATTACTGACCACTACAGCCTCAAATGGCTTCAATCGCTAAGGAATTTGAAATCGGAAAGGTAAGGTCGCTCACGACCTCCCGACCGCAGGTCATATGGGAATATACAAAATATTCTCAAGTTTGGCCGAGGAGTACTATTGGCCCAAAAGGCGACAAGATGTTGCACAGTTTGTGAAACATTGTCAATTGTGCGCCGCTTATAAGCCTGATCAAACAACTCCGAAGGATATGATGGCCCGTCCGTTGGAGCTGGTGTTAATGGACCTTATCAGTCCTTTGACGCGTTCCACCAAGGGTATTATGGTTCATTCTCGTGTTGACAGACTACTTCAGTAAATTTTGCCTCGTTTTCGCCCTAAGGAAGGCCACCACGGATGCGACTATATGTCGGCTCGAAGATGATGTTTTCCTTTTATTTGGGACGCCCGGCATTCTGGTGTGTTCGTTAAAAACGATGTTATCTATGTATGTCGCGGATAACCATTGAAAATGGAAGGTAAACCTTCAAAGAGTAGCGTGTGTTTTGAGAACAGCTAAACATGATACAACCACATTTAATCCATTCTTTGTTCACTTTGGGAGAAATATGGCTCTCTCTGGAAAAGTCTATCGGGTGGAAGATTTGTTCGGCGAAGGTGGTGAAGCCCGAAGACGTTAGCAGAAATACTATGACGAGGGACGTGTTTCTGGAGGTGAAGAGATGATTGGAGAAGTCTGGGAAGAGGAGCTCCGAAAGATACAACCTGTGGAGGAGATATGAAGATTATCAGCCTGAACAGCGAGTGTGGATGAAAAATTACGTACAGTCGGACGCCCCTCGTTAATTTTTCGGAAGTTAGCACCGAAGTATTTGGACCATACATAGTTCACAAGATGGTATCGCCTTGGACTTACCTCCTCAGGGATGAAGACGGTAAAGTTTTGGACAGACATCGCTTGACACATCAAAGACTTGAAGAGCGCACCAAAACATGAACCTGGGGTGTAACCCGAAGAGGCCGCGACCTCATCGGAAAGGAAAAATGCGACGCGAAGTCGTTGATTTTTTATGATTAGTCTTCGAAAAAAACTCTCGATTTATACGAGGTACAACACTGACATAAAATCTTGGCAAGTTGACTTAGGTGTCACACCAATAGGTGGTTCCATTTATGTTTCGCTTGCGTTTACGCAGCTATTTTTATCAAGTACTTTCTTGATTTTTTCTCATTTTGTCTTCAATCGAGGATCGCCTGCCCGGTACTGACGATGCCCAATAGGATGAAACATCTATTCTACTATTTTTCCAATAATAATAGGCTCTGGCCTAGATGACGTTAATTATCATTATGAAACAAAAAGTATTTGACAGTGACACAACTTGTTAATCAAACCATTATAATTGTTTTAACTAGTTTAAAATTATTGTCATTTTGAAATATTGTAAAATGAGAACTCATCCCAGGAAGAACGAATTGATATGATTTTGATAATCGGTGAATGTAAAGAAAACTGTTTATTAGCGTCAAGAGTATATGCCCAAAGGTATCCTAACAGGAGTCATGCTAACAAGCGTTCATTGGAAAAGTTGTTGCAGCTTTTCCAAAGAACGGACAGTGTATCTTATAATATGCAAGAACGGCAAAAACCGGTTACTGGAAATGAGGAAAATGAATATTTAGTGATGTTATCTCTAATTGAACACCCTCACACAAGTCAACGAAAAATATGTGAAACAACTGGAATAAGCAGACAGAGTATCCAAAGAATAATCAATCAATCAATCAAAATCGTTTATTCAAATTTTAAATAATAATAACATTTCATTTGTTTAGGTGTGTTTGTGCTATAGGCTAAAAGAATAATTGAAAACTACAAATTCCACCCGTATCGCATTCAACTACAACAGCTTTTTGAAGAAGATTACGACGATTGAATTTTTGTTTGATTATGTGCTTTTTTCCGACGAGTCAACTTTCCATAACAACGGATTAGTTAACAGACATAACTCACTACTACAGTGACGAAAACTCTAATATTTTTAGAAACCTTGATCACAAGCACAGATGGTTTGTTAATGTGTGGGGTGGGGTTTAATAAACCCTACAAAATACAAATTAAGCAGAACACAGAGTCAGATGCTACAAATGCAATACGCATATATACAGACGGCACAAAAACCAAGGAAGGCTCAGGATGTGTACTGTACTCCAGATCACTAAGCCTAAAGATTAAACGGGGAATGGGAATAAATACCAGCGTGGTCCAAACAGAACTGGCTGGTATCTCAATCGCCACAAAAGAAATAACCATGAATGGAATTTCTGGCAAAAACATAACAATCTGCACTGATAACAGACAAGCACTATTAGCCTTCAACAGACAGCGTGTTACCTCAGGGCTAGTAATAGAGTGCCACCAAGATTTAGCCAAAGCCTTGGGCGACCCTGGGAAGCTGGCGCCGAAGAAATATCTGGCGATGACCAGGAAAAATCTACGCCTAACAGTAGGATTTCTGACTGGCAACTGTCAGCTAAGGAAACACCTACATAATATGGGGGTAGTGGACACACCTCAATGCAGGATGTGTGAACAAGAAGATGAGACTGTCAGGCATGTCCTGTGCGAGTGCCCGGAGTTATCGTCAATAAGAGAGTGTGTGTTCGGCGAGTCTTGGCCTACACCTGCCGATATAAAGGAGATGTCTCCCAGCGACCTGTCCACCTTCCTGGAAAGGACAGGATGGACGACGACCTAGGAGGACAACTCCTCGGGAGGATGTACAATGGGTCACATGTGGCCTAAGTGCGTGGGCTTACACTCACCCTCCCTACTCTACAGATACAGATA